TTTGCACTCGCGAACTATAAAAATATGAAATCTCAAGCACCGTCTGATTATTACGATTTGCTTCTCGTGCATACTTCTGTACAAAAATGATAGAGTACAAGAATAGGTTAAATACGTACAGGATGTTCGGATAGAGGTGAGTATCCTTTGAGGGGGTGGCAGCTGAGGTGATTCTGAACCACTTAATCCTTTACCAAAATACTCGTTAATAGAAAAAGTTGTTCAGAATCACCCCAGCTACCACTCCCTCAAAGGATGCCACCCCTATCCGAACTACCTGTATATAAATCTCGCAAATCTTTTGCGAGCGAAGGCTCCTCTTCTTTTTTCTTTATTATAGGAATATTTATATATTTATATATATATATATTTATAGACAATGCAATTTTTTTCGGAATCACGATTAAAATTATACGCTATATAGAAAGAAAAAAGACTGTTGGCTGGCAAGAATACGCACCCGCGGAACAGCGGGAAGTTATTATATTTACAAATTTTGTTATATTACACAAACGATATCGAGCAAAGTAAAAACCGTAATGATTGTTTTGGTATAAGTGCAGTAGCTCCTAAACGTCTTGCAGTTTAAAAGTTAACTCGGAATCGTCAACTCTGGTTCGCGCACTTTCCTTTTCATCGAGTCGAATTCGTTCAATTGCATTAATTACAGAACAATAAACGGTACGGAAATACTGGAGGAATGTATAGTTGGTGGCTCGTAGGAAGAAGATCCCAGCCACGAATTCTTTGCCAGACACTATGTACGACCGAAAGTTATGTACTAATTTAGATCGTGGAACCTTTATTCTTTGGTAAAGTGAAATCAAACGTCGTCGATATTCTTCGTTCGTAGAGTTATCCTCGAAAGAACAAGACATTCAGAGAAAACGATAAAACTTTATCTATACACGATACGACCGAATACACCAGAAGCCCTTATCAATTTACACAAAATTTCGTATACTTAAGCAGTAACGAACGGTGGTTCGTGGTGCATGTAAAAAAATACAAGATTCGCGGATAATCATGATCTCGCTCGTCATTCAGCGGGCCAATTCGAATCAGATTACCTAATAACATCCTAAATTTGACATCGAGTGAAAATCGAATCGTTTAATCACCGTCTTTATACAATATATCAAGAACGTGTAAACTTCACTGACCTGCTCTTACTTTAATAACATCGTAAAAAATTATGCTTTCAGTATGCTCTTAAAATCTATCGAAAACGCAGTCACTTATCCCGTATCCATTACAACCATCGTGTATAGAAACACGCAATGAACGATCTCGTGCGAGTAGCAGCGTTTACCCTGGTACGACTGTCGATTGAAAGAAAAGATCATCGATCATACGATCTGAATGACGTTCGATTATCAGCGTAAAACGCGTCTACTCCAACGGACGTTGCTACATGTTTAGCCTCTTAATTCAGTTCGACGATGTTCCCCTCGTACATGTACCATGTACCTAAACTTTCCCTTGATATGTACACACACAGAGTTACACATTACATTGTTCCCTAAGCGTAACAAGCTTCGAGAGGACTTTCGTGAACAAAATTTGAACGTTCGAGCGAATGGATTGCTTGTGCAAGAATCGGCAGAAAAAATGAATCGAGACTCGTCTAAGTGAACGAGGAACAAACAGAATGGGAAGAGGAGATTTTTATTTCTGAACTGTAAGGCAACTCAGACGGTTAACTCAAAGCTTGCCGCTTTAAATCGCGAATCGTGTAACGAAAACGTGTCACTCGTGCTAAAGTTCGTGCTCTCGATTAAAATCCAATCTCGGGTACACGGCACGCGCGTTAATTACGGTTACGTGTTTCCTCACGCTATCGGCGGGTCGTCATCGTCATCGTCGTCTCTCGTGACTAGCACATTACCGTAACGATTCGGGCGGAAGAGCCGAAATCGTTGCAGCCACTTGTATCGTCTCGCGCCGAGGTAGAGCAGCACACCGATTACTACGAGGAAGGTTGGTATTAGCAAACCAGCAGCTACAGAACTACCTAAACAAAAATTCAAAAAAAAAACAATGACGTTTTAGTGGATTGACCCGTGCATAATGAGCAGCGCGTGTTGCGCTAAACGCACAGCTGGCTTCTTGCCCGACCGTTTCTTTTTCACGTTAGCGATACGATGAGCCGTATCGCCAAGCAATGAATAATAAAGGCTAATGCAACCGTGTTGTTATCGGTCGGCGAAAATTAATCTATAAGCAATCTATCGTGGAAAATTTTCCCTCCACTCGAGTCTACACGGTTAATTTTGTTATTGTAAGGAATACATCTATCGAACTTCAAGTACCTCCTGAGTCCACTTTGACGTCCGATTGAACGGTAGTGATGCTAACCATCGTGGTAGTGGCAAGGTGTATACACTGGCCGTTCTCCAGTTCAAAACCAATCTGGCACATGCACTGCGCTTCCTCGTCCTTCGAATTTTGAACGCATCTTTCGTTCGGACCGCATTGATCCAATGCCTTTTGCGTGTCGCATCGTCTCATCCCGCTCGTCCTGTTCTCCGACGAAGAATCTGGATCAATACGTGAAAAGATGTTTCTTTATACATTAGAACAACCCTTGAAAGCAACGAACGAAAATTGTTTCCCAGCTCTTTCCATTACCTACGGTCACCCCTGCCTGTCTCGTCGTTAAATTACTCTTTAATCCTTGACGGCCACCGCGTCGAGAAAATCAACGACCAACGTTGTTCGATCGTTCGATCGATGGGAATTGGAAGCGGGGGACACGAGGAGTTTATCTAGTTGATTCGTCTAACCAGGGGTTAATAGATATGGATACATTAGCCACGGACGGCTAGCAAAGAAATGCAGTAGCGAACAATGCGAATCGATTCACAGGAGTGTACGTTAAATCAGGAAATATACGTGTGTTCGATTAATTAATCAGAAAGTAAAATTTGGATCCTACGAGTCGAAAGAAGAGAAACAACGTTTATCTCTGAAAGAACGAAACAATGAAAGTGGCATCCACCTGTGATCAGCTTCGTTCGCGTGTTTCTTAATCACGAGTGGACATTACGCTCGTTTATCTGCCTGTTATCATCCGACGTCCACCGATTATTCTTTTGTTTCCCTCGAATGAAAAGCACAAAGAGCCTGATGTCGAATGTGCGTCGTATCTTTGCGACTCTATCGACACTGCGTGAGTCGAGATTGGCTGAATCAGTTAATTGAGACGAATTCGTTTTATCAGCTAGAATACAGGGGGTTAACTATACGGTGGTTGAGTCAAGCAAATTAAGGGACTTTCTTTCGCTTTAAATCGATGCTACTCCATTTAATTCGATAAGCGGACATTCGGTACCGTTCGTACGAACAATAAGAAGTACTTAAACGAAAATGAAAAACCGAAATAAGCTTGGCGATAACGTATTCGGCTTCGAGAAGATTGCGAACATCTGCAATTCGATTTAAGATATCGTGCTCGATCCTCGGCAATTAATTCGCATCGTTCCTGCGGGCTGATGAATTTTTTTCCCGATAACGTCGCGGAATTCATAGCTCGATCGAACAATGGGACCTTTCATTCGGATTCATCGATGCGCCCGCGTATTTCTATTCGAAAAAGCAAAATCTTCGAATTTCCATTCTTCCCTTTTAATTTTCTACGCGCTTTCGACGAAACCGGGACTCCATCTTGAGATATTATGTAATAAGTATCTTCGACTCAAAGTAGAATATTACACACTGTGGTCAGACAACGAAATTACGCAACTATGTGTGTTTTCCACGAGAAGAGCGTGCCTGCGTGGCAACAGTAGGCGACTGCGAATAACAATCATACCCTGGCTGAAACGAATTACACCCAATGGAAACGGGAGTACGCCGGGATGATTAACAAAATCGTCAGGGGAAAATTATTTGTTTCGCAAAGTTAATCACGCCCGTCAAGAGCGACGAGTTAGCGTTAATTACTCACCCTAGAAATCGCGTATACGTGTATTTACACGGTGCTCACGCGTACATACGTGCTCGCCTTTATCTATCGTTCGTAACTCGTTTGGCGAAAGAATGAGAACAAACGCAACGCGTTAAGCATACGTGAACTTTGTTATCGCGTTGACTCATCTTCTTTAATACGAACAAAACGAGCATCTTTTTTGCCAGAAAGTAAGAACGTAGCTGAGATTGCTCCATTTGATAACCTCTGCTCTTCTTCCCTAGACAATATCGGATATTTTTAATACACACATTTCATCTTACATAACCAGATACGTTTCTTACGGGGCAATGTTGCGAAATAGCTCCCTTTGTAATGAAACGCAACAGTTTGCCGGGGCAAGGAGACATCGATAAACCGTGCGGAACGATTTAAATATAAATTCAGAGTAACAGGAAAGTCCGAGAGTGCAAATCGTACCGGATAAATGTGTCTTCAATTACGTAGCGACACGGGAAACGGGAAAACACGCTCTTCTTGATAAACGCGATTACAAAACAAAGTCGTCGGTGGCACCTAACACTGGTTGGTTGGGTGATTAATGGTAAAATCCAAAGCAGCTGAGGAAGATCGAACCGAAACGTATCGACGTATTAGCGAAAAAACACAGGACAAGTGCAGGCCGGGAGGCAGCCCTCGATTTCTGGACCAAAAGCCGGGACGAGAAGAGACGTAGAAGAGAGAGCGAGAGAATAAGAATGGGGAAAAGAGAAAGAAAGAGAGGGAAGGAGGGACAGAGATAGATAGAGAGGGGAAGCAACGAGACGAAGAGAGAAAAGCGGAAGAAGACTATTGTGGACTTACAGGGGTGACCCCAATGGTTCGGTTCGGTTCGGTTGAACGAACCAATTTCAACGGCTCATCTGCTAGAAAGACGGTTTAACGTTACGCCGAATAAATATCGAACAGTTGCAGAGAATTCCCGCTTACCTGCGTAACTGAATGGCGCCAGAAAAAGCATTGCCACGATGAGATAGCAGAATGCATCGGCTCGAATGTTTTGCATTTTCCTTTTGTTCCTTCCTTCTTCTCTCATCGTTCTCTCACTGTCTCTCTCTCTTTCTTTGTCCCGTTTGTTTACAGTTCACGATCATCACATAATAATGTAGGCGGGTTATTTCGTAGACACTTTAACGGGATCGATGCGTTTATGCAGCTCGGTAAATGTAACCGCTGAACGTGTTAAACGTACACACGACGAATGTTTTCATCGAAGCGATCGAAACGATAACCTAAAATCGTCGCGCGAAAGTATCAAGAGGCGCGCGTGTGTCGGCTCATCGCCGGTCGGCCGTCCGTCACCAGTTTTGACAGATAAATGCTAGGCCGCGCCGCGGAACGCGTTCAATCATCTGTTATTAAACGACCATTTGCAATTATCGAACTCAATTGGCATCGAGGGATCGCTGGCAACATTTCGATTTCGAGATATTTCGAGAATCACAACGGCGATGAAACGCGCATGCGCGACTAAACGGGCGCGTTAATCAAAGCATTCATCGAACGCTTCTTGGACAAAATGAATTTTATATCAATTAATCATCCTATACACGGTATTCTGAATAATTATAATATCGCGCAATGAGAAATACCTGCGATTGTACATTTTCTTTCAAAATCATCTAAAGTTTAAGTACTTGGGACGATAATTAAAAGAAGAAAATGAATCGTGTGAAAAATAGTTTCGAATTTGTAAAAAAGAATTATAGTTTTGTAACAAACATTTCAATCCGATGATTTATTTGCCACCCCCTAGATAATGTTGGCATCTAGCTGGCGGAAATCGATTGCTATACAGGTTATTTTTAAAAAGTAGAACCCCCACTCGTACCTGTTTTCTCGAAAAACTATACGATCAGTTGAAATTTATTTATTTGTAGCAAGTACGAGCGAAACGAAGCGTACGAATATATGCACGTCGAATTTAAAATATCGCGACAAGTTTATCTATGATCTTTGGATAGAAGATAGAGAGATTTTTGTATCCATGAGTTTGTAAGCGTAAAGGCGGTTGAAACGTAGTTGCGATGACAGCAGCACATGTCATGGCGAGTGTGTTATCATAAACCAAAGTTGCTCACTGCGAAAAGTCCGCGTTAAATCGAAAGCTATCAATTACAATATTCAAAATGAGGGAAGAAACGGTGTTGAACTTAAAGTGGCACAGTTTCCCGTCGCATTTAGCGGTTTCCCTCGATACGTGTTACGAGAAGCAACAGTTTGTAGATCTTTCCTTAGTGTGTAAAGGTGGAACGATTTTGAAGTGTCACAAAATGGTATTGGCCAACTCGAGCTCCTTCTTTCGTCGATTGCTGGTGGCTAACGAGCATCCTCACCCTATGATTATACTCCACGACATCGAGGCCGATGATCTGAAGACTATTATCAACTTCATGTATTGCGGTGAAATACAAGTCGTACAAAGTGAGGTTAGAAGATTGCTAAAGTTGGCCGAAATTTTGGAAGTTACCGGATTGCGGCACATACAGACGTCCGTTTTGGTAGGGGAATCGAACAACGCGTCTCACGACGCGTCAACTGTGTCCCGTTTAAAGCTAGAAGAAACTAAAAGTTTATCTACCAAAACAATACCATCTGATCATGATCCAAATGCTAGAGCACAAAATAAAACTACCTGCCAAGCAACGCGGTTCCCTTCTTCTACTCATCCTCATAAGATAACGAATAAATTACCTTTGGAAACAACTAAAAAAAGCAAAGAGAATAACATTAATTTATTGAGTCAACGCTTGGAGACGGGTAAATCTGGAATCAGTATTGTAGACATAAACGATATGCCAAGCACCAGTAAAGGAATTTCAAATACGTCTGTCCCAAAGAGGAAAGAGATTCCAGATCCAGTTATCAGTTGGCCCCGTATTTTATCAGCTATTTCAAAAGACAGTCCATTGCCTTTAAAGAAATTGTGTATAATGGATGAGGTTGAAATAACAGCTGGGAAACCACCGGCTATCACCCAAAATGTAAAGACTAACGAACCCTTGGACAGGAGGAAAGAAAGTTGCAAGGTGGACGTTAACGAACCAGTGAAATGTGGAGTTTTTATAAAAGATGAAGTGGATCTGTCGTTTGAAATGGAAGAGGATACAGAGATGGATCCGCTGGAGGTTGAGGAGATTGAAAATGATAGTTCAGAAAATGTAATAGGATCGTCACAAACGTTTTCTGTTACAAATATGGAGCAGACCTATTATAATACTGGAAGTCTTCCAGAATTTCCTACAAGAAAAGGATCTAATGGTTAACAAATGGGATAACTTCCTTATTTTTTCTTTTTCAATGAACTGAATAAAATTTTTCCTGCGACTACGAATTTTTCTGTAATTAAAAACACTTTGCAAAAAAATGTAACAACACGCATAAATTAACCCATAGTTTGTCACCTTACTTGTTACTTTGTTACGTGATCTGGTTTCTTTTGTAATAAATCAATTCAAACTACACATTACGTCCTCGTTTAATAATTATCCTAATCAATTAACAGGTGAATCGCATTCGTAATATCGCGCCAAACATTTTACTTTTGTACGCGTTCAATTTCTCTCACAGTATTATGCGTTTCTATGGTAACTAGTCTCTGGTTTAGTTGGATCAATCTTTTCTGTTGCGATCATCATTAAATATTGCAAGAAGTATGGAAGGAACAATAAATAACGACGAACTGGACGAAAAAATAAAAGAAGGCGAAGAAATGATAAGCAATCTAACTGCTGATAAACACGTAACGGAGGAAGAATTCCAAAATTTTATGCATCGTGTTAACGAAGTTGGTAAGTGCCCGTATATCTAATTGAATCGCAAACAAAACTTAAGATGTTTTATCATTTTTCAAGAGAAAATTGTGAAGAAATTAGCATCTCCCGACCCTGAGGAACAAAAACACGGTCAGATATTGGCGGACGAAATTTTAGAAACGAAACCGACCAAGGACTTCTCTGAAGATGACGAATTGAAAGTAAAGGTCAATCGTACAGTGATCAACAAATATTCAAAAGATGAGAACATCACCGACGAACAAATGTCACGAGGTATAAATTATTCTTTCAGCTGTTACTAATTGCCGTACTAATTAAAAATTTATATTTATACAGAAGCGTTTATGTCGAGTGTAGAGAAGGATGCGAAGGAAAGAGCGGAGAGTCGAAAAATTCGAAACGAACGAGCGGAAACGATGAAAAGGATCGGCAATGGAGCATTTAAGGAGGAAAATTATGAAAAAGCTGTGACTTATTACAGCAAAGCACTGGAACAACGAAAAGATTCGTCCGTGTTATGGAATAACAGAGCTTTATCGTACATTCGTCTTGGATTGTACGAAAAAGCTTTAGACGACTGCGAATGGGCATTAAAAATACACGAGGCGAATTTAAAGGCACTTTTAAATAGCGCTAAATGTTACAAAAAGCTTGGAAACGAGATGAAATATAAAGAGTACATTCGATTAGCGAGAGAAAGAAATCCACACTTCAACAAATTTATTAACGGTATATACTTGTAATTCTTTTACATTTGAAACATTTCTATTTTAATTTTACTCGATTCACCTTTTGCAGAATTTGAAGAAGGTACGGATGGGTGCGTGGACGAACAAACCTAATGTAATAATTGACCAGTAAAGAATAGAAATATTTCTCATGTAGTACGTGTGTTTCTTTTTCAATGATCTAGGATAATTTTTCAACGTTCGACCGGTATCAAGATGGGCTTATCTTTGTAGCATAGCCCTCTTTAATCTCTGAAAGAGATCTAGGTTCATGCAAGAAAACTGTGCATTCAATACCCTGTAAAAATGTCTCACTAAAGTTGTTTGAAACTGCTATGATTCGTAATATAAAATACCAGTACCTGCATACGTGCTGCTCTAACAAATCCTTCGTTAGCCGATACCGTGATACTTTTCGTATTTTCACCGGTGGCAAACACCAGTCTAGATCTGTCTTTGATTTTACCACCCAAATTTAATTTCTCTATGATTCTGCCAGCGGGTATATCGTTCACGATCCGAACTCTACTAAGTAATTCTTTCGCCCTGAGAGTCTCTTTAGGTCCGCCAATAACATCTATGATGTTCATAAAATTTTCATAAGCAGTCTGGCAGACTATCAGTTCTTTATCTTTAAATATGCTTTCTAATATTGGCTTCACTGGACGTTTTCTCTCCATTTCCGCTTGTTGCGTAAGCAACGGTTCACGATAAATAAAATGATCATACCCATTAGTCATATTTGTCACGTATGCTAATAAAGTTGATACATCCAAATTAAGGATCTTTATTTCAGTTTCCAGAGGAGAAACGTTAAGGGTGTCTAGATTCGAGTTTGTATTCCTTTTCGATTCGTCCAATGGTTCTCCATTGAATTCTGACGTGTACATCCGTGTTGAGAATTTTTCGTCTATATCTGTCTCCGGAATAACAGACACAACGATGAGTACCTTTCTTAAAATTGTAACTAATGTGTACAAGAAAAAGTTTATACCATGTATGTCCATGCTTTTTTCTTCTTCGCATTCAATCCTATCTCCTTCAACCGCTACTCCCATAAGCTCCAAATTTTTAGCTAAAGGTATTTCTATGCCATAAGCAAAATGGAATACAATTTCTGGCGGTCTATAAAGATACGGATAACATTTTGCGCATTGCAAGAAAGAAGAAGCCTGGTCAAGCACAGATTTCTGACCGTATTCTCCGTTGCCCATTGAGATCAAGGTAAGAGCTCTGGCATTTCTAGCGATAACTTTTACCCAAGAGGCACCACCATTGCATACTATATCTACTTCTAAACGTGATTTCTGATATTTGAATGGTTTCAGAACATTGGTGGGTTCATTGGCACAGAAGAGCCGTGCTACAATAGCATTCAAATGAATCAAATTTGTGCTCTGCAGATGTTCTTTCTTCACATTCCCTGTAGATTGTACCTTTGTGAGAATAGTTTATTGTTATAAATCCATGATATTTTTAACGTTCCATATGGACGTCTACATAATAGAGAACAATTAAAACTAGATGCAAGCGAGATGTTTCATAAGTTTCAAAGCTATATAGATAATCACACCTTGGTAGTTAGGTAAGAATCTTCTATTAAAACCGCAACGTGACAAATGTTTCCTTCCTAGTAAGAATTTCAGAGGAACGTACCTTTTCTAAAAATCTAATCTCTTGTTGAATCTTTCGTACGAGTTTCTCAACCCCATCGATCTTTCCTACGAGTTTCAGCCGATCTACCGTCGCTTTGCCACTGTCTATTTTTTCCTCGAGACATTTCAGTAGCTCAACCTTTTCCTCCATCCTTCACGATTACACGATTCTCGACAGTTTGGCCATGAAAGATCCTATTTTCTTTGGCAATTCTTATTATTTCTGATAGTTCACGATCGACGAACGTAGTGTCAGCAGCCATTTTGCCATTACAGTTCAATATCGCGTGTAATGTCGTCGGGTCGCTTGTCAAACTCGCCTATTAACCTCACAAAACTTTGCGCATTTCAACAAACAATTGACAGTGAAGCGTAATCGATGGATCGTAACGGTGTCACGTTTCGTCGAAACGTGCGAAATGTAAAACGACGGAGAGAAAATTAATTCCCGGGTGTGTATAGAAAACGAAAACTAGCCTTCTTATCGGACCGTTATTTATTCTCCACTGTCAACTATTTCTGTACGATAACAAAGATCCTCGGTATATTCGAGCTGTAAAATGTCGAGCGCAAAGATCATCGAAAATCCAGAAATACCGGGTGAGTTTTTCTTCCTAGAAAACAATTATCTCCATTGATTCGCGTTGCGTTAGGGATCTGTGTATGGTCTAGTGATTCAACCAAAGATCCATAAATCTACGAACTTGTTAATCTTTCCAAAAGTACGTAATAATCATCGCATCGTTATTCGAAGAATTCATAAGAGAGTGAATTTTTCAAACGATAGAAATAATTTGCAAGGACAACACCGTGCGTGTTTGTGGTACCAAGATTCGATACAAATAACCGGATACCACTTTTCATACGTCTGTGTCCGCCCAATTATCAAAATAAATACTCGAGGAATACAGCTACCACCTCTCGCGTTCGACACGCGAGGCGAAAAGATAAGCTTGTTATCAAACAGTCTCGTGCTTACCGACCAGTTTCATTCAGAGTTCGAGCGTCGAAATCAGCTGACGACACGAGATACAGAGCCATGTGTAGTAACATGGCCACCGATGGTACCGGTCTATCGTTTCACTACATTATTATATGATAATGTTTATTTATTATTTCGTAACACGTTCATTTTTCCATTCAAATTGCTCGATACATTTCGAGTGATAATCAGATGGGTACCGAAACAACTTGTCCCGGCCCTGAAGCGCAAAACGAAGACGCGGCACTGTCGTCCTTGATCGTTTGCAAAAATATATCTCGCACGTTAGCAATAAAAATGAAAGACATTATCGGAGACTGTTTAAAAATTAGCAAAACGAGATCAGAGCGAATTGCATCGATTCCCATCTCCCGCTGGGGGGTACCGCTTTCGTATTTTACGAGCCACTTTTCTTTTTCTTTATATTCGAACCGCGCATTCTTACGCGTGATTCGAACACGCTTCAACCATCCGCAGTTTTTATTAGCTTCGTAAATCTAACGCGCAACGCGTACCGTTGCCATTGATTCTGTTCTCTTCCGGCTTGAAAAAAAATCCTTGTTGCAAATTTTGTCTCGTTGACACAGCCGGCTCGCGAAATTTCAAATTAACGATGAGAAATCTATGTGAAAGTTTAAAGTTCACAGATATCGAAGACGATAGCATTCGAGCGAACTCCTGCCTAGGAGTTACACTTGGAAAGTATTCTTTACGTTGTTTTCTCGGTTTTTCGTTGAAGCATATCGTATGCGACGCAGGTTTGGAATGCTTTTTGCCGCCACCCCCCGCCCCCGCCGCCGGTCCCGCTAGTCGCATTGCCAAAATGCAACAGCCTGGTGGCATCGACGGAACAACAACAACAGCAACAACCGGTAACTGCAGAAGAGACAACGACCGGTTTATCGAGCGGTGAAACCGCGATCAATCTGACGAGCCTGGAAACTACGTCGTTTGCAAATCTACCTGTGCCAACACCGTACATCATGCACCCGACGACGATGCAACCGCAAACTCCTGGACAACCGGCTGCACCCTGGTGGGTACCTACCGAGGCGGACACGTCCGACCTTTACGGACGATGGTACGACACCACCTACAAAGCGGCAGCTGCAACGATCGCGTCCCCGACGATTCAAGTGACCGGCAAAGCAAAGAACAAATATTACAAACGCAAGAACGAGTTCATAGATCCGGCCCAGGATGCAGGTAATTAAAGAACGCTTACCCTTTTCCCGCCACTTTTGCGGCACAATTTTCGGATGCGCTTCGTCTCAGGGGAGCAACAATTTTTGGGTAAAAAATATGAAATCTTATAGTTTTCGAACGGAAACATTGAAAAATGCAAGTTAAAAGTTTAGGTTTTTAATGGTTTCCTAAACTTTTCATTTGTATTTTCATATATTTCTGATCCCCCAAAACGAAGTTTCATCCGATTTTCTCAAACACCCTGTGTACCTAGAGATTTTATGTAATAACGCGATGCGCGCGCGCTCGCATCGGAATTATCATTGAGAAATATCAGAGTCCAGATTCCTCTGGCAGTTTAGCTAATTAAAGATTGATTTATGTTTCTATTTCGCAGAGAAAGTTGCGAGCGCCCAGAGGGAACTGTCGGCACTAATGAAACCGCTGAAATGCGATCTATGCAACGCAGTCGTAAGGCTCGATTACTTTATCCGTTAAAAATCCAGCTAGACGCGGGAATAGCGTATCTCCTGTTTAAATATCGCGATGGTAAAACGATTTCAGATGAACTCGACGTTGCAAGCAAAGTTGCATTACGACGGGAAGCCGCATCAGAAGAAGGTGTCGATGTTTCTGAATCAGAGCGTGAAGAAACAGAAGACCGAGGATGGACAAATCACTAGCACTACCAACGACTGGCAAAATTATTGCGATGTAAGATACTTGATAAAATATCTAGATATCCTAAATAAATATGAAACAGGATCTTTACTAGCGATGTTAATCGAACATTTGCAGATTTGTAAAACGTGGTTCACGTCGCAAACGGACGCGACGCAACATTACGCCGGTAAAAAGCATATCAGAGCGGCGAACGGTGGACGACGATCGAGGTACACAGATGCATACTTGTCTCTAATTATTTGGTAGAAAAGATAGGTAGCTGTGTCAGCCGCGAGTTCGTCATACCAGAGCGTTGAATTCTGCAGGCCGTCGAAGAAGTCGCAAAATCAAAATCAGTACAGTCAAATAGATCCTACCAACCGATTCGGGATAGGAATGGCTTTTCAGACGGAAGCGACTCCAGCAGCTGTCCAACCGGTGGTACCAGATGCTGGTGTAACGCAAACGATACCACCGACCACCCCGGCGCCAGGAGCGATAGCAGCAACCGGAACAGGAACAGCACCGGGAACGACACCAACGGCTACAACAGCCCCGACGACCGTTTATACACCACCGACCTATCCGACACCGTTGCGTTGCGATTTGTGCGGAGTTTCCGCGAATCGGCAGGATCAATTGGAAACGCACAAACGTGGCGCCAGGCACCTGAGAATGCTCAGATTGAACGGGTTACCAGTTCCCGACCCTGGTAAGAATTCGATGGAAAATCAATACGTTATTCGAATGAATTATTTCACGTGAAAAATATTTCAGGCGTCGAGAACGAGACAACCCCCGCCACTCCTGGACCTATAGATTATTCGATTTATAGGACACCCTCGGGTAAGAGGACTATATCGATTTGAACGGTATCGTTGCCGATCTAATTGCGATCTACAAGGAATATTCTGATTGCAGGCCAGTATTATTGCGCGCCGTGCAATCTATCGTTAAATTCCGAGAGCACGTTCGCTCAACACGTGGAGAGTAAGAAACACAAGAATCAATCGAACCCAAAGTCCCCGTCAAATTCAACGATGGCGTCGAAGAAGGCTAGATTCAAGAAGAAATAAAATCATCGGTCCATCGTACGGAACGTACGACCGTCGAACTATGTAAATGATAATTCTTCGTCTGTCCATTCTTTTCACCGAAACTTTTCTCTCGTTTTCCGTTATCGTCGCAGATGTATTGTCGTTGTATCCAGGCGATGCACGCTGATTCGTGCAATAAGAAATAAAACTCTTGTTCGATACGGAAGCGTAAAAACGTAAAAACGACACCGTTTCACGAGCAAAATATCGTCGTATTTGAATTTTTTTATCTTTCGTACGTTTCGAGAATTCGCCGCGAGACCGGGACGGCGGATAAATAATCACGGATCCGTGATTATTACGCGAAGATAGATCGGATCGTCGCGCCTACTGATGAGAAAGATAAGTCTGTTAAGACGCGAGCGTATTTAAATTAAATACCGATTAACTGTAAATTCGATTTGCAGTAAACTGGAGGACGGTTATTTAGACGGTAGCTCGTTAACCGTCTGGAAGGCAGCAGCAGGACTAATCGGCCACATTTATTCAATTACGAAACCATTAGCTCGAACGTTCGCTCCTCCTGAGAGGCTCGATTCGCGAAATCGTACGCGTCTACCGCTAACGCTCGTTTATCGCGCGTCCACCTGAAATTTATGCGACGTTCGCTCTCTCGACCTTCCGCAGAATTTATTACCAAACGGACGAGCCGTACCAAATTTCTCTCCTCTATTAATTACCTCTTGAGGACACGTATGACGGATCAGCTTTTACACCGTTCGCGTAGAAAAACGACAGATCGTTAGTTAAGAAAGAAGCAAGAAGATCGAGAAAAAAATATTGCCGCCTAGCGATTCTTTCGTTAGACGAAGCCTGCATTCCGTCGAGTTTTCTAACAAACTCACGCCGCTGCATTTTAACCGGCCAACTGTTCCATTCGAGAGCTTCTTTTTAGCTTTCCGTCTCGGAGCTTCGACAACGACTCGAGATTAGGATCGTCCTCGCACGAGAACTTGTAGATCGTTACTTTATACCTGCGCTTCGAATTTTTATGACCCCAAGTTCCACGTTCGACGAGTTCCCTTCTCCTTTTTATTCCCAGCCTCCTCCCACTCTCTTCTATCCTATCACTAAAAATCCCTTTTCCATCTTTTCGTCTTCCCGATCGCCTACTATTTCTTTACCATTCTCGTTCCCGTACGGAGGAGCATCGGAAATGGAAGAAAAAGTCGAAAACAACGTGCAAAGAAATGGAACGGAACGGAAAACGTAAGACAATGACAAAGGTAATACGGGCGGAGAAAGAAGGAGAGAAATCGATTCGTTACGCGGCCAAGTGTAATGCGCGTAAAAACTTATTAATCACCGGAGCGTCCGCTCTCTCGGAAATTCGATGAAATTCCAACGGATGACTGGTGAGAATTTCTGAGAACCTTCGAATCCGAGCCTCCTCTTGCTCCGACTACGATCGGATACTGTGACGAAACAGAGCAAACGATCGATTCCCGTTCAAGCTTGACTCCGACGTTAGATCCTCTTTTTCTTTTTTTCACAGAGGAAAAAGGAAAAAAAGAAAACAGCTCGAGATCAAGAAGCCGACTATCAACCGCGCACCGACCTCGTAATTTACCTCGGATGATAAGTTCCTCCGCGTTGGAATAAATTACCCGTATAGGAAGGTATAAAAGACTAGGGGGACACGGTAATGCTCACGATCCTCGCCGCTGTTTACGAACCTATTCACGCGGAATTCCTCTTCCTCGCTCGCGTACACTTTATTAAGAGAACGCATCGATCGAGCGTAAAGTCGTTACACGATTAAAATATGCTAATTCGAAGATTTCTAAACAAAGCGTGGAATACGACTGATCGTAATGGTTCCCGTGGTCAAAGCCGTCGACTCGAGGCGCTGACGAGTTTTCTTTTCACGCTGACGTTCATTTCTAATTCCGCTAACGAACGGGTAACTTTGTTAGCGCGAGGAAACGGTACCTGTGTGGAGCAAGAGCAGCCGCTCCTTTGTCTCGCCGATTCCATTGTTCCAGACCGAGAGAGTACGAATCGAGGAAAAAACAGCTCGTAGAAGAGATTTCTTTTCTGTCCCGTTCGCCAGACCTCGGACAAATTCGTACAATTATTTCTCGATTAGGAAGGAACGGTTGGCCAGCGAGAAGAACCGGAGCAGAGCGGAGGCACAGATTGCCGTGCCGCACGAAATATGTACCAGGGGGGAGGGAAGGGAACCGCGTGCGCGTTGCGGTCCGCCCGCAGCCTAATCGCGGAAATTTCGCGGCACGACACAACCGCTTTAATAAGACGTTTTTGCGAAAGGGTTTCTAGAAACAGGGGAGCCGGGGCAACAGTTGGCGCGACGAAGCAACACGGCACAAGACGGAGAGCGTAGGGAACGTGGACGAAGAAGAAGCAGTAGAGGAATAAAAAGCGTTGTGTGGCGCATCTCGACGGGGCTGACCTTGCAGGTCTTCGCGGGCCACCAATGTAGACCGACAAGAAAATAGAAAATCGTGCTGCTCCTAAATGCGGGCGGTGTGATGTCATGCGGAAATAGCCGTCTGCCTATGCTCCCTGCCGACGCGAGAACGGTGAAAGGGGACGTAGAAGGGTCGAGAGGGGGCTTCTTGATCGCTCGACCGATTACCTCGTCTCACTCGGCTTCCAAGGAGACCCCGATAGACGGTACATCGTTTTTGCCTTTCCGATCGACCAACGAACGCGAAAGTTCATTCGCGAACGATCTACCCCATTTTCCGCTCGATTATGTCTTACGCTCTTTAACCGCGCCATCTTTCTATCGACTTTCGATAACTCTTGTCATTTACGATCGCGTTCGATTATCGAGACCCATATTTCCTATCCCTGTATCCCCGTATCCGTCGGGGCCCTCGTTAACGTCCCTTACGCGAATTAATTTCTTACTTTTAATGGAATCGGCTACCTCGCTGCGGGCGAGGACAACGGAATTATCGATATACCCGATAAGAGGAAAGCTACGGGACGGTTGGACGCTCGCGAAAACGGGAAACGTCGTAAAAAGAAATGATCGCACTTACCGGTAAAAATCGTATGCTCGAATCGCGTTTAATGTACCTTCGGCTGTCGTCTAACTCCAGGGGGGTCCGCGATCGATGAGATAAAACTGTTTACAGGATGGCAGAGATAACGATTAACCTGGTAATGGGTCCCCTTTGAACGGCACCTCGTTCTCCCGTAATCTTCCAATGTACTGGCACATTGATTATCCTTGGTCACTGGTCACTGATCGCGAAAATATCATTAATACGCGTTTTCGTTTATCACGATCGAGTTTTGTAAGCGATCGAATCGGTTTCTTGAAAAAATTCGTCGGTCGTTTTACCGGCGTCCATCCAGAAAATGGAACCACCAAACACGTCGCGATTTTAACACGAATTACTCGATTAAAAACGCAAAGATTCGTAAACTAACATTCACACGCGCACACTGCACCGATAAGTAACGTTCGAGAGGCAAACACGATAATTTATTTCACTTTTTCCAGTAAAAATCGGTGAAACTATAAGCAACTACGACCGACGAGGAACGCGACATTTGCAAGAAACTACCCATGATGCTCTTGAAAAATTGATCACGTGATTGGCTTAGCTAAGGGTATATCCTATATGAATCGATCACGTGGTTTTGAGTTGCAAGATCTTACCCAGAATGCATTGCGGGAGGATCACGTGGTTTTGAGTTGCAAGATTTTACCCAGGATGCATTGCGGGATGATCACGTGGTTTTGAGTTTCAAGATTTTACCCAGAATGCATTGCGAAGGATCACGTGGTCCCGAAAGGATAGTTAGTTGACGATTTTCGAAAGAACGAGAAGATTGTTGCGTGCTCGAGCGTGTTAAAAGTTCTATTTTAATCGGTCAAGTATCGTTTCTCGTATCGAATCTTACGCGTGCAAGTGTTTTTTTCATACGAGAGAAGAAAATCGAACAAGATTTCCCGTGTTTTAAAGTGTATAGCGTATTGAAAATCCATGACCTCCGGGCACGGGTAGAAGGCAGTGCTATCCAGAAGGAGAAAAGAAAAGCACGGGCGAAGAAAAGCGAAACCGATATCGAAGGATATTCCGGTGCTGTAAGTACCGAGGAAAGTCATCGAGAATAAAAGTCCGTAGCATCGTGGACGTGTGTGAGAACGACCGCTGTCATGCTGCCGGCATGATTGCGCATGCGCGCGGGTACACTTGACGGGCTCAAAAAATCAATGACCCCGGTCTATCGCACGTTCGTTCGCGTCTTTTTCTCTACGATATAAGAAGTTCGAGGGTGAGAAGAAGGATCGCAAGGAGGTGATATCGAGGCTCGAGGAAGCGATCGTCGTGGACGAGAGGGAAATATGGAGATACGAAGGAGTAAGAAAGGATCGAAGAAAATGGACGGTGAGGGTGCAGCCCCGATGGTGGCGCTAGTGTGAAACGGCCGAATAGCGGTACGGTGAAACCAGCCGAGCAAGCTCGGCTACGTTTCGGCTCACCACTTTAGTTCGTGTCCTACCGCTGTACACGACGGACGTGTTGAACTCGATCGCGCGTCGCGTTCTCTATCCGGAGAAAAAAACTAACTGTTTGTCCGCCACTGCAACTAGTGTGAAACACGTAATTCGGTGGTTCGCGTGTAAACAGGTAACTGTGCGCGGTAGATTAGAAGGCACAGAGGAACGCGTGTACCGCGAAAACGACGCACGAGGTCGCGTAGTGTTCCGGCCGCGACCGGCAATAAAGTTTCGCAGTGACTTGTGTTAAAGAGAAAAAAAGAAATAGAAGAAGTGGTGAAGAAAGTCAGTGTGCGCGTCGTGTACGATTGCCACCAGCCACGGTTCACGGCCGGAGGTCCGATAATCGGATCGATTCGATTCCATCTAGAACGCTGTTCGCTGGATTGTCAGAGGAGAGCGTACCATCCTAGCCGTCGCCGCGGTGCACCGTCCGTCCACCTTTCGCGTTGCCGCGAGTGCACGGGATAAAATGGCGCTTGCTTTCGACCGTGTACCTTTATCGACCGTAACAAACAATTTAACGACGGAATCGCGTCGACGTCAATCGCGACGTTTTTGAGCATCGAACACATTACCGCGGCAGATCGTTTATCTCCGTTCCCCGTTCTCCGTTCGCCCCACCCCCGGCGCTTCGCTTCGTTTCGCTCGCTTTTAACGTCTTTTCGTCCACGAATCGAACCGCTGACCGCTGCACTGTCCATCAGCCACGAGTTCACTCCCGAGCAACATACATTCGAAGAAGACGCTACTTCGGATCTGGACAGAGGGACAGTACGGAGTCTGAACGCGAGCACGCGTCCTTTCGGAGCAAGGGTGAGTACCAAAGGATATATCACATATTTTCACTGATCATAGATAGTTAACGTAATAGTTACTAGATAGAAAACGAACTATCATTTATACGTGGAATACTGTTTACGATCGCGCGATAACTGATGGTAATTCGCGTTACTCGCAAGTAAATCGTTATCTGCGACTTGCGACACACCAGATATTAACGAGATCGCAGTGAAAGGCATCGGCTCGTTGTCGAAGCTCGGAACGCTGCGTCAGGAGCGTGGATTCCGTTCGAACAGGTTTGCCGTTTCATTCGTGTTACCGTACCTTCGCCGCGCCGATGCTCGAACGCTCGTACCAGCCGCTTATTCTCCCATCGGAGCGCCCAAATCTCTTACCGATTCTTCTTCTTCTTCTTCTTTTTTCTTTTTTTTTCTCTCCGCAAGTTGTCGAGGCAGTAAGCGCGCAGCATTAACGATTCCGTAATTATGCAAATAAATCTGAAAGGGTTGGGGGTCGCGGACTATTTGAAAGTCCGTACGAACACGCAGGCAGGCAGGCAGGCAAGCGGACGGACGGACGCGCGTACACGTAGCTAGCCGATGTGTACATAGGTAACGCGTGTGTGCACACTCGACCGAGTACACAGGCGCTTTCGCACGCGTCTAAACGTGGCAAACGCGATTCGACCGGGCTACGTGCGTGTACTACTCGGAAAATGACAGGCCATCGGTTGGAGCCGGTGTGTTTGAGCTCGCCTTCTCGTGCAAATATTTTGCGCGGGCAAACACTCGCCACGACGGATCATGCCCTCCTCCAAGGTAGACGGAAAGAAGGCGCTGAGAACGGGATAACCCCGTTGAAATTTTCGTAATCCCACCGAGCCGAACTTAAATTCGAATTGCACGAAATTATCGACGTTTGAATCGAATTTTCATTTGGTAGATGTGAAGACGATAGATACTCGTAGATAGGTTTCAGGATAGGGGAGGAGAACGAATTTTCCTGGGTCAGAATCGACGCGACGGTTTCGGAGTAGCTGATCGCTATCGCGGTTGACACTGGCGTGGTCAGGTAGGTAGGGTAGTAACTTTACGACAAGGTATAAGGGTAAAAAAAGTCCGTGCGTTTGTCTACCTGTTGGCGCAGGTAACGCGTTCCTGTTCGAAAAGTTTGCCTAAGCCCCGGTTTATCGGGTGCCGTCACGCGTCCAGGGAAAGGCTACGTTTCGGTAACTGTAGGACAACGATGGTCCAATTAACAATTTGGAGCGCGCTCTATTTGCATAATCTCGCGGCGAGGAAGGGTGCACTGGAACGGCTGCTAAAACGCGAGTAACTTAGCAGCCAGGATCGATAAGTCTTCGCCGTTGGGGCTTAATTTCGTTTTCTAGTATGCGACCGCGTGCCAGAGATGTTCACAGTAATTAGCCTCAATTCGAAGTTCCGTCCGAGCGGCGGTAATTCGTGGTATAACGTTTCTTGTTCTCTGTACCAACAGCCACGTCCTTCTTTCTTTCTCTCTTTCGCGTTCGTCAGACACGTGAGAACTTCGGTCTCTCAGATCTGGCTGATAATCGTCGGGGGACCGTTAGACGAAAACGATCGACGAGGAACCACGGGAGGAGCGATCGTTTCGATGGCCTAGCTGAAACGTTGTCGGGAAGCAATCTCCGCTTCGTACGGAGGATGTCGAGCGATTAATTATGATTACTAGCGCCATTAGATAGATGCGTGTGCGTACGCGTGTACGTGCGTGCTAGCCAGCCTCTAGCCCTGTTGTTAGATACGCCGCGCGCGATCTAGTCAGCGTAGCGTGTTCCGCGCATACTTACCTCTGCGTAATTGCATCGTGAAAGTGTTACAAAGCGATTCTCGTAGGCCCCGTGGAAACGCGTCGCGTCGCTCGATCGAGCGAACAGCAGGCAGTCCGCGTCGCGGGTAACCCGTTGAAATAGTGAAAGTAGTGCAACCACCTGGCTCGTCCTTTGAAAACCACTTGTACATACACCTACCTCTTACCCGTACGCGCCTCCTTTCTTTTGTCGCGCTATCGAGTTACGTATCCCAAGAATCGAACTCTTTCCACCCCTTTCAAGCGGTTCTTTCGCATCTCCCTTCGACCTATCCTAATATCCCTGGAGCCGGGGCTCGAGAACGTAGGCCCAGGATGTCCTGAAATTTCGGGACTCGGTTGTCGGTAACTGCCGACAGGGCGATCCGAATCTCTCGTTTTACGTTTCGAAGGTAGGCAGACGGGGCGACAGGTCTCTTTCTGCTGCTCTCGCTAATCTCGTGGCTCATCTAGGATCTAGGGTTACCTGGATCTACGCGTACCATGGTCTACCAAGCTCGTCGCCGGCCCTATTATTATATTATACACGGGGTTGCATTTTGACCCGATCGAGCAGATACCGAGGCGGATATCGTAGCCGATAACATCGCCACTTCCGCGATTCTACATCGTGAAAATTCAATTTCCACTTTCTAACCTTGTTTACTCCGCGTTTAACCCTTTGATTCCTCGTTTCGTAGCGAGGTGAAAAAGGTCGACGTCGTTCGCGCCGAGCGTGTAATTTCGCTACCGGAACGTTTAACGAGCCCGATAATTTCCATACCGTTTAGCATTCCCGATTGATTCCTCCGCCAAGACGACGGAATTATTAATTGCGCGAATCGAATTAATAAACTCGACGATCCGCGTTCCGGCCACGGAGGAGGCTTTCATTTGTCGCTGGAAACATATTACCCGCGATAACATCTGGAAATTAGAATAATATCGTTCGAAATTGTCGAGGGTAAAGGAGAAAAATGCTGTAAGGAGGATGCTTCCTCGATGAGTATCAGATTTCACTAGCACGATGCCTCGATGTAAAGAACGAAAAATGTAAAGGCACCGTGGGTTGGGCATTATTAATTCGGTAATAAAAAAAACAAAAAAAAAAAAAAAAAAAAAAAAAGCGAAGAACCAGGAGAAACGACGACGTTGCGTAATTTCATTTACATAGGAGTTTTATTTCGTCGTCTTCGAGACGAGGGCTCCGTGAATTTTGATGCTTCCCAACCGGTACCCACTTGCCGGATCATCGACGAGTCTGTTCAAACGAACGAAAATATAATAATTATCAATAATGTATAGCGTATAGATCGCGTCGCGAGAGGGTGAAAGGTCTTTCGACCCACTTATCTATCGGACGAGTCTCGGAACGAGAAGGAAACTTATCGTTCGTTTAAATTTAGAGAGCGAGACGAGCCGAGGAAATCGTTGCAAATTTATGGCGAAGCTTATCGTGGAAAAATTTATCGTTAATCATTATTCGTGAAACATTTCAGCGTGATATCGATCGAGAAGTGGCTGACGCTACTTTTGCCCCAGTTACGTGACAACCGCGTGTTTTTACCGAAGAAAAAGTTATCGCGTTCACGGCCTCGCATAAATTTCGATGCAGATGCGTCGATGACAACGAATCCGTGGAAAATTTATCGGCCCGTTTCTCGTTAATCGTTTTATCGTTATCGGGGCCCGCGTTTCTTTCACCTCCCCTTATCGATAAGCAGATTTTAATCGTATCCTGGCCGCGTTCGTCACCATCCGGTTTAACAGAAAATCCCTGACTAAAAAGGGGGAAGGGGAGTAGGAACGATCCTCATCGTTCGGTTCATGAATTTTCCCACATCGTAAGTGGACGTTGATTCATTGCGTCCACGTGGCTTCTGCGAATTCTTCGTTTCGATCGAAGAGCTCGCTGGAGGAGATGTTTTTCCTCGATCGAAGGAGGAGCTCGTTCGTGCCGCGATAAATCCGGTTAAATGGTTTCGCTTAAATCGTTGCCGATCCGGCGACTTCGTTTTGTCGCGTTTGTCGATTCACGGCCGATTGCACGGTGCATTATTATTGTAATGCAGGCCAGGAAAGGGGAAAAGATGGAGAGATCGTTGGTCAGGCAAAGGATCTTTTTTTTGCGACAGGGTGAAAAAGCGGGAACGATCGGGCGTAGTCGCCGGGCAGAAGGCTGGATCCGCTCGAGGAGTTTCTTTTTGCCCGCTCGTAGACTCGATGTAGTATAGAATGGAAGAGCTGTGCGATATAATTGTAAATCGATTTTCACGAGAAATTGACTCAATGAGAATTGACGGCAGCGGCGATGGTTTTCGCGCGAACGCATAGATTTTGCAGCTGCTAATTCGGAGCGTGTTAAGTACACGTATAGAAGGTGTACGAGATGCGTTCATTGTTTCGGAGTAGTTGGCCGGCTCGACGCACACGGCCAAGTCGAGGAATCGGGAGAACAATGCTGGTAATTACCAGGATTTCGGTCGCGCACGATAATGCCCGGGCACACAGGCGAGTCGCTCGATGGATTCGAGTTTATTTTCTCGTTGACAGCCGAGCGTGAATGGAGATTCGCCTTATATTCGGTGCTCGAGTTTCATGGGAATCTGGCCAATGCCCGTGTGCCCCTTTCCTCTTTACCTTTCTTGCATGCCGTGCAGTTAGCGATGTACATATGGCTGCGTTTTTTCGTTTTCATTCGAGGGACCATTTTTTTGGGAAGTGGGCGTACCTCTTTCCGGTTTTCGGCCCATTGTGTTCCACCCTGTCTGATTCCTCCTCTTCTTCTTCTTCGTCGTCTTCTTATACCCGGCAAGAATGTACCCGAAGCTGGTATGCGTGGACGGGTGTGCATCGGTATACAAGTAATCGCGTGCACGCTTCCATTCGCACGCGCGAATACGCGTTTCTTCCTTTCGTTTCTTGTAATAAAGACAAAATCTTGGAGCGTCCGAGAATCACGGATTCGTCCCGGCTCGTAACGGATGACGCGGAGCTTTTAAAGGCGACGAGGACACGAGGGAAAATAGGGAAACACGGAGAACGGTATCGCCTCGTCACCTGGAAGAGACACTCGAGATACGTAAGAGATTCGTTGACGACGAAACGGTGGCTGGCTGGGTCGGCCAATTTCATTGGAAAAAGCCGTAAAGTAGAGGTTAGGTTGGCCTGGTCGAAAGAAAGGCTCGCTCGCATTGTGGCTC